TTTGGTGAACTCTGTAGATGTCATTCTTCAGAAATGTTGTTTCTAGTGCTTGAGAAATATTTTTACTCTGGTAGACTTAATCTATTCATTGAGATAGGATCCTAACCAAGGGCAAACAGGTAGAATAAGACAGACAGATCACTTTTTAAGAAATTCTTTAACAGTTACAAAAGCAAATGCTTGGGGCCAAGGAGATACCTTAGTAGAATAAGCACTTGCCTGGCAAGCACAAGGGCCTGAGTTCAATCCCTGGTTCCACAAAAAAAAAAAAAAAAAAAGATTAAAACACATTAAAAAAAAAAGATGGTTGAACAGTCCGAAGTTTCCTCAAAACAAAGTCTACATGCTCTTTGAGTAGCCCGATTTTCTAATCTGTTCTATTGAAATAATGGGAGATCACTACAATGGAGCTTTAAGATGTGTTGTCCATGCTTCTCGTAGGCACGCACCACCAACCTTCTCAGCAGACACACACTACACATCATTCCAGCAACAGGGAAGGAATTCAGTCATACATGCTAATAAATAATTTTTGCACTGCCTCTATAGGACATCAGGATAGTGAGTGACATAGCTAAGAAAGAGAAAAATAAAGCCAGGTAACAGAAAAGTATGATCTTAAGCTCTGTTTGTTTTTTCCTTTTTTGGGAGTGGTACTGGTGTGGAGCATATTATTGGGAATTGAACTCTGAGCCTTCAAAGTAGCTTGTTTTCAAGGCTTTTTTTTTTTTTTTTTTTTTAATTTTAAGGGGCCGGGGAGATAGCTCAGTAGAATAAGTGCCTGCCTGGCAAGCACAAGGGTCTGAGTTTAATCCCCGGTTCTGCAAAAAATAATAATAAATAAATTTTAAAGACAACTCGCCACACAGGCTCAAACTTATGATCTCCTACCTCTGCAAATGTGGAATTACAAGTATGTGACTATGCCCAGTTTAGTTCTCACTCTTTAAGTAAAAAAAAAAAAAAAAAAGCCTTCCTTTTCCCACCATGAACAGTAACAGCTCTATAGGTTTACCTAATCCTGCATCTGCCAATGCCAAATAGCTTTTCTTTGAAAAGGAAAATATTAAGTCTACTAAGAAATAGTATACTGACACAAATTATTACAACAAACACCACTTTTCATTTCCTATGTCATCACAAATGATATTAAATTTACATTCATTTATTCATAAACAGGCTGAAGAACTTAACTTTTTACAGTTTGTATTTGAAGGCACTTTTTAAAACTCTGCATGTTGTACTGTCTAAGGACTATTACTATTCCATCTCATAGAAACTTAGCTTTATTTGGATCTTCCCACAAAAAAGATTAAATGCAGTACTAAAAAGATAGAATTCATAAATTTGGTGGTATAATGATTCACTACACTAATGTGACAAAATTTAGCTCTAGACTGGTAACCTCTGAACAAGCAAAAACCTGCTTGATAACCATCATCTTCCAAGTGAAAACACAAAAATTCACAATAAACACACTGTGGAGAATACTTGCTCCTTCTTTAAGATTAGGAAATCTTAAAGCACAAAATGAACTCCAGATACTAAAAACCAAATATATTCTCTATTAGTCACACACACACACACACACACACACACACACACACACACAACCCCACACCCTAAACATGAAGATTAAAATTTACTAAATACCTTGTTTAACATAACATAAAACTAACCATCTAGTGTAGGTCCTACAATGACTGTTTACAGACTGGAAAAGTGTAACCTACTTACGACCACAAATCTAGAAACTGTCAAGGCAACACTGGTCAGTCTCATTCCAAAACCAAGGAATCAAGCTACTCTCTGGATCCATATTGTGGGAATACATGGAAATAAACCACTATTCCAAATGGGAATATACATTCAAGTTCAATTTCCAGCCCCCAAGATAAACTCAACACTTTATGTGAAAGAAATAGGTTATTTATACAAACAGAAATTCTGCATTAAAGGTGACCAGACCAGATGCTTTCTATAGATCCTTACAACTTGTAAATTTTCAAAATTAACTCCAACTGATCAAATGTATTCATTACAGTAGACACCATTTATATTCCAGTATCCCAGGTAAGATACTTCACAATTATTCCAGATTGCTCCATTAAAATTTAATTTTTGGGCTGACATAGTTCACAGCTTAAGTGCCTGCCTGACAAACACACTGTCCAGGGTTCAATCCCCAACACCAAAAAAGTAATAATTAATTTTTGTAAATTAATTTTCATAGGGGCTGGGGAGGTAGCTCAGTAGAATAAGTGCTTGCCTGACAAGCACATAGTCCTGAGTTCAATCCCCGGTACAGCAAATAAAAATAATTTTTAGCCTTCCACCACAGCAACCATGGACAAAGAGTAGCCATGGCCCTCTGCTATCCCATGGCCGTGGGCCTCAACAAGGGCCACAAGGTGACTAAAAATGTGAGCAAAACAAGCTATCTCACCAAACACACCAAGTTCGTGTGGGACATGATCTGGGAGGTGTGTGGCTTCGCCCCCTTTGAGCAGCGTGCCATGGAGCTGCACAAGGTCTCCAAGGACAAGCGCGCCCTCAAGTTCATCAAGAAAAGGGTGGGGACACACAACGTGCTGACCACCATAAGGAAGGCAGCTACCAAGGACTGAGCCCCTCTGGAATAAAGCTCTACAGAAAGCTAAGAAAAAAATAATAATAATAATAGTAATTTTTATGGGCTGGGGTTATACCTCAATGGCACAAGCACCTGCCTGGCAAGCCCAAGGCCCTGAGTTCAATTCCTGTTACCAAAAAACTTAATTTTCTGGGACTCCTCTCCTGATTTCTCTAATCTTTTCTTGCATCTGTTAACCTGTACCAAGTTTTCACAATACATGTCTTACCTGTCACTTCCAACAGAAAAAATGAAAGGTCAAATCTGCCTTGAAAGGCTCAAGCGGGCCGGGGAGATAGCTAAACAGAATGAGTGCTTGCCTGGCAAGCAAAGGGCCCTGAGTTCAATCCCCCGTACTGAAGAAAAAAAAAAGAAAGAAAGAAAAAATAAATAAATCAATTTTAGGGCTAGGGAGATAGCTCAGTAAGCGCAAGGGCCTGGTTTCAATCCCCAGTTCCGCCAAAAAAAAAAAAAAAAAAGGCTCAAGCTACAATGTTCTAATATCTTACAACAAGGTAAGTAACACAATCCATTCCTATGTCTATCCAGATGTAAACGACGTATCTAAATACTCTCAATACTAGTGGTACTGATTTATTAGCTTTATGTGCCAAACTTCATAACCCCTGAAACTCAGTCTGTTCAGTAAAATGGATAGGTATCTATTTAAACAGACTCAGGGGAAAGGGACAATTTCAAACAGCACTTGTAAATTTACAGGGCCTGTCTAGCTCACAATTTTTAAGCTAGGGGCTTGGGAGATAGCTCAGAGGCATAAGCACCTAACTGCAAGCATAAGGGCCTGAGTTCAATCCCCAGCCCTGCATGCTGCGTTGGCCCTGAATCCCTTGGGTACACCATCTCTGCCCCGTTCCAGGTGTGGTGGCACACATCTGTAATTCCAGCACTCGGGAGGTTGAGGCAGGAATATCCCTGGCCCAACTGCATAGCGAGACCCTGCTTCAAAAAAAAGAGACTGGGCATGGTGGCACGGGCCTGTAATCCCAGCACTTAGAGGAGGTTGTAAACAGAAGGATCACAAAGAGTCCAATCTACGTAATGAGACCCTGTACTAAACACATTTAAAAAAAAAAAAAAAAAGGCCTGGGAGATAGTTCCATGGCATAAGTACCTGCCTCGCAAGTGCAAGGTCCCAAGTTTGATCCCCAGTACCACCAAAAAGAAAGAACTTTCAGGCTTTACAGGGTACTCGTTTACGGTGAATAAAACAAGTTAACAGATTAATCAAAACCAAAAAGAACCCATTTTCCATTTTATACAAAACTTCATTTGGGTAAATATTATAAATATTCGTTAAAATTAAGATTTTGAACTTCAGACTTTCATAGGTACTTTTTTAAAAAATGCAGATGTCAATGTCATTTAAGTCAATTATGAGACCGTAGTTTCTCATTAAAATTAATTTTAAAAAAGAAGAAAGAAAGAAAGAAAGAAAGAAAGAAAGAAAGAGAGAGAGAGAGAGACCGGTGTGGTGATGCACCTCTGTAATCCCAGCACCCAGGAAGCTGAGGCAAGAGAATCACCGTGGGTTCAAAGCTAGCTGGAACTACATGGTCAGACAGACACTGTCTCCCCTCCCTTCCCGCAAAGTCATGGATGAGCCCCTGGGAAAGTTTTCAAAAAGGTACAACGACACAAAATGGTTCAGAACTACAAGGCATAGGAAAAAATAATAGACAGTGGCTCCTGGTATACTACCACTCCCAACCTTCAATTTTCCTAGGCCTCACTCCTGTGTAGATGAGTAGCTGTCAGCTCTCCTCTTCCAAGAGGCTGAGCGAACTACCCGGCTTTCTGTCCGGTTATTTCAGTGTGCTCATCCTTTTTACCAACCGGGTGGGAGGAGAAGGGAGAGCTAAAGTTATTTTACTAGTCTGTTTCTGTTCGTCTGATGCAAAAGCCTGAAATTAAACCACAACATTTAACTTGCCTATTCTCTCCAACGAACTCTACGAAAGGCCACCGTAAATTAAGGTTCCTGGCGCGCCCCGAACGCAAACAGGCTGGGGTTTCCAGACTTGCCATATGGGATAACCATAGAGTTTAATTTCCAACTCACGCGTCCCACCCTGGCGAGAGGACCGGGACTGCGGCGCTGGCACGTGGGCCGGCCCAAGGCTGCTGTCACCGCTCGTCCGGCAGGGTGGCAGGATCCAGGCCGCAGTGGGTCCCTCCGCGAAGGGCCTGGGCCAGGCCGGGCCGGGCCGGGTGCGGCGGACACGCTGCTGTGCCCGGCCCACATGGCCGGCGAGCGCGGCGAGCGAGGGTGCGGCAGGCCCCGCGCGCGCCGGGACCTACAGCTCGCAGGCCAGCGCAGCCCACAGGCCCGCGGTCCGCCCGCGCCCACCTTAACGTCCTCGTCCTCGTCCTCGCCTTCCCAGCGGTCCCCGCCGGCGGTGCCGCTGCCCCCCACCTTCCGCACCGGGTCTTCCACGGTGTCTGCGTCTAAGGAAGAGAGCGAGCCGCGTCAGTGTCTGCCTCGGAGTGCGGCCAGCGCTAGCCTGGGCCCTGCCCCGGGAACTTCTGCTCACCCCAGGAGTCGGA